GTGGAACAGTTGATGGGTCAAATCCCAGAACTCAGAGTTGCTGCTGGATTCCCAGCTTTTTACAACGCAGCTCTCGATATGTTCGGTCCCGTGTTTATAAAATTAGGAAGGAAAACATTAAAGGAAGCGCAATTGATAATATTTACGTGCATGACGTCACGCTCTATACATTTGGAATTGGTATCTGATAAAAGTTCTGATTCATTCCTCATGGCTTATAGGAGATTTTCATGCCTGAGGGGACAAGCTAAGTGTGTGTGGTCTGATCAAGGAACCAATTTTGTGGGTGCGCAATCTTATTTACGTGAAATTATGGAAAATTGGGATTTAAACCGTGTTAGAAATGTGATAACTCAAAACTATTCCCGCGATTTGAAGTTTAACTGGGAATGGAATATCCCACGAGCATCCCGCATGAACGGTGTAGTTGAGAGTCTAATTAAGTCCGTAAGACAAGCCTTTAATGCTACGTGTAAATCACGCGAATACACCGAAGAACAGTGGCACACAATTCTAGCGGAAATAACATTTCTGATAAATTCTAGACCGTAAGACATCTGAAAATCGTAGAAGGTTAATTTGTGAACCTGAATGAACTGTGAAATTGTTCACAATTCTAAGGCCCGTTATTCTGTTGTAGACAAAGTACAACCACACAAAGTAGGCGAGTCTCAAATCGCATTCATAAGGATTGGCGGAAAGACAACTGGACAGATGTGATTATTAAATTAATTCAAAATTATAATAAGGTTTTAATGATAAAAAGATAGCTTGCCAGGCAAGGTAACATACGCCCACTACCAGCTGTCAGACAAAATCTTTTGTGGCTTAATAATGAATTTTCAAATAATCTTAAGGTCATCTATAAATCAAGGCAAAAACCTGAAACAGTTCATCAAGTTATCATCAAATTCAAACATAAACAATGTCTAATCGCTGTACACACAAGGACAGTAACTCTGAAACTGTTCATCATCCGAATATTACCAATTTCTAACTTGATCAAGATCTCATCATGCATATCTAGTTTCATCAAGATCAGATAAAAACTGTAGTCTCTATCGTGCCTACAAGTCAAATTTGACACGTTTTTACTAAGTCAAGGGTAATAACCGTGAACCCTGTAATCCAATTATTATGAATTTCAAACTTGACTGAGATCAATATATATATGCATACCAAGTTTCATCAAGATCGAATAAAAACTGCAGTCTCTATCATGCCTACAAGCCAAATTTGACGCCTTTTTTGACTAAGTCAAGGGCAATAACTCTGAAACAGTTCATCCGATTATTACCAATTACGAACTTGACTGAGATCTCATCAATACTTACATGCATACCAAGTTTCATCAAGATCCGATAAAAACTGTAGTCTCTATCGTGCCTACAAGGCAAATTTGATGCGTTTATACTAAGTCAAGGGCAATACCTCTGAAACAGTTCATCCGATTATTACCAATTACGAACTTGACTGAGATCTCATCAATATATTATACATGCATACTAAGTTTCATCAAGATCGGATAAAAACTGTAGCCTTTATGGCGCCTACAAGCCAAATTTGGCACGTTTTTACTAAGTCAAGGGCAATTACTCTGAAAGCTTTTTTCCGATTATTACCAATTTCGATGTCCGAGATCTAATCAATATAAGTTTCATCAAGATCGGATAAAAACTGTAGCCTCTATCGCGCCTACAAGAAATGTGAACGAACAGACGGACAGTGGCGACGGCAATATACGTCCACATTTATAGCAACGGAGAACTGATTTTATGGCTCAATGGAGGTTACCAGTGTCAGTTTGTCCTTACTAAGTTAAAAGTGCACCGATTCTTCCATTTAGTCCTTATTTTCCTATCTTAAGCCCACTTCACTGTTTCGTTACCAATTAGTCAAAGGGCTTGTCAAATGGAATATAACATAACCTACCTGAGAGAAATGGTAGAATAAACGGCATATCTGTGAAATTACAACATAGCATTTCTGGTCTCCGTTAACCGGGCGCACTTTTTGGGGTTTATCAATATAGGCCTAATACTATTTTCTCGGAGACATATGATAAAGCACATTGATTTCAAGAGAGGTACAAACTATAAATGCATAGATTTCTTCTAATCATAGCATTTTCATATAATCATCCCAATTTATCGATTGCATCATCGCGCAATAATTGGGTCGAATAAACCTGCTTGGGCCTTTTAACCAAAATGACTGTTTAGCTATATAAAAAATATTATGATATAAGTAGCTACGATGGCTCACATACGACATTTTGAATTAAAAACTTTAAGTTTACCTAGGTGAAAAATAATTATCACAGAAGTGATTCAAATTATGATTATCCTTAAAATAGCTAAAGGTCATTCGAATCGCTGAAATGAATTTGATTTCGGGGAAGGGAGGGTTTGATTCTCCCAAATGTTCAGGCCTAGGGTGGAGCATTAATTCTTCAAATAAAGAAATGCCAATTTAAAGTTAATGAATAAAACGTTTCATAGTTAAAGAACTACATTTATGCCATAATGCTTGAAAAACATCCATTTTCTGCTTCACCGACATAAAGAAACTTTGTTATCAAACTGGATTTCAAAATGTAACAGACGGTTTCTCCTTGAAAAAAAAGTTATTTTGATAAAATTTTCGAAAATTAGGTGATAATTGGTGTAATTTTTAATTCAAAACTTTAATTTTCACCTAGGTGATAATTCGTGTAATTTTTAATTAAAAACCTTAATTTTCACCTAGGTGATAATTCGTGTAATTTTTAATTCAAAACCTTAATTTTCACTAGGTGATAATTCGTGTAATTTTTAATTCAAAACTGTAATTTTCACTTAGGTGATAATTATTTTCACCTAGGTGAAAATTAAGTGATGATTCGTGTAATTTTGAATTAAAAACTTTTTCCACCTAGGTGATAATTCAACGAATCTTGTAAAGAAAAGTATTTAATTCAAAATTCTTCAAATTTTAATTCAAAATTATTTTCACCTAGGTGAAAATTAAGGTTTTTAATTCAAAATTACAGGAATTATCACCTGGGTGAAAATTAAAGTTTTTAATTCAAAATTACACGAATTATCACCTTTAAAGTTATTAATTCAAAATTACAGGAATTATTACAAATTAAAGTTTTTAATTCAAAATTAATTTTTACCAAGTAAAAAAAAAAGTTTTTTATTCAAAATAAAAATTGGAAAATGTCGAAAGTATCGAAAATACAATATATTTGATGTAAAAATCCAAATAGCCGTATCGTATTTTTATTGGTGAACATTTCCCTATTATTTAACATTGAGCCGACTTTCAAAAGGCCTATATGATTCATATATATTACTTTATCATACAGTGCCCTTTCAAAGGGCATCATAAATACATCGAAGTTAATATTCCTTAATAACGGTTGTATCTGGTGGTAAATAAATAATACAAAAGGCTCCAAAACTCCTCGAAAGAAACGATAACTATGCAAATTACCGAGAGCTTTTTAAAACTAAAAGTAATGTACCAAAATTAAAGTAGGTATCCATGAAATTGAACTTATTACATCTGTATACAAAGACGAAGGGTACGATTAAAAGTTAGAATCTACCAAGAGTGTCAATACCGGCTGAGGACCGCTAAATCCGACAGATTCGCCTACGGAATAGATGAGTGACGGCGGCGGCAACAACACTAGGCTCTGTCATTAGCCGACGAACAGTCCTTCGACAACTTCATAAGCTGGTTTACCGACCTTTCCTTGGAATGGCCCTGACCCGTCAGCGCAGACTGCAATGGGCACGAACTGTACTTCGGAGGCATCGACTTGACTGTGCGAGAGTGCATTTTTACAGATGAAAGTCAGTTCTGTCTGTTCAGGGATCGATTAGCACCAAACTGCATCACCGGTTCACCGGTAAAGGTTTCATGGTATGGGATGGCATTTGTGGCCAGATTACAACACGACTGGTTATCATCCGACACAGGAATAAAGTGTTGAGACCTGTTTCTTCAGCATAAGCAAAGAAAATTGATTCAAATTGTTCAAGGCTACCTGAACAACAATAAAGTCAAGGTATTGTCATGGCCATCATTTATTATTTATTATTGGAATTATTGTCATGTTCAGACATGAACCCCCTTGAACATCTCAGGGATCATCTTGGTCGTCAGCTGTGCATGTACGGCCTCCAGGGAACCGACATGAACTTAAACAAACTCTATTGACATTATGGAACGGGTTACCTGCTAACTCACGTGATGACGTGGAATGGACTTACATTTTTAAATAAACTCTGATGTGTGTAATTGTTTTTGGAACCTTTGACTCCTTAGTGTATTGCGGAGAATGAAATATCGGCAGTACAATACATTTTCATTTTAAATCAAGGGAAACGATTTATATTTATAAATAAATCATATTAAATCTCCCAATAGCCCTTCGTTTTTTGTTTGGTAAAGTCGTTAAAAACTTTCTTTTGTCCTAGGTTAGGTTTACTACAACCAAATAATATGAAAATAGGATTTGGTCTTGGTCTCTATCGCGTTCACAGGCCATTCGTCCACATCTGTACAATTTTTTTCGAGAACTCATTTTTGACCTTTTTGGCCAATCCAACTATTACCCTAAATTTTCGAAAAATCTTAATTGACAATTTCACCCACCAACCAAGTTTCGTGGAAATCGATTAAAATCAGAAAGTCAGAATATTGACCAAAATTAGGTACAAAAAGTTTTCGACAAAATTTTCGAATTTCTGAAACTGCTGTGTGTTTGGAAATTTAAACAACATTTTCGTTTATGTGTGGAAGAGGTAACAGCTTGAAAAACACAATAACCCAAACCTGGCAACCATGCAGAATTGTGATATAATCATCTAAATATTAAACTTTACAAAGCTCAATTTTAGTTACCCGTATCTGTTTTCAGACTAGATATTTAACATTCGGTTCGTCTCTAAATATCGGATAATCTTAAAATTATTGACAAAGAAAGTAAATGTAGAAATTCTTACCTTTGAATTGCATACTCAATTGTTCCTTCATTATGAGAAGCGACCATAAAAGCACATTTTCTATGATTAGCCAGGTGTTGCATTAAATAATCCAATGATTGATTATACATTTTAGTAGTATTTTCAAAGTCATCGTGAACTGGGTTTGTATAACCATGTACTTTAGCCAATTCCTTCTCTTTAAGCATGTAAGCACCTCGTACTAATTTGGTTCCAAAGTATCTGTTCTGAGACAGGATGAATTCGACATCTTGTTTTAACAATCCAAAAGTTTTCTACAAATGGTCGAAATTTTCATAAATCTTGAGAAAACATTGAAAAGACAACTCTAAAGAACACAACAGGGATTGAAGTGGGAACTCCCGAGTAGTTAAATGATCTCAATAGCTGAGATTGTTGGAAATTTTTCCCATTTTTGTGATATACTAAAAATACTCCGTAATGGAGTTTTACGTCACTCCTTTCTGCACATAATTGGGCTAATGCAGACGGACAATGCCATGAAATGTGCAACGAGAGAAAATTTGTACAGACAGCGACATTAGCCTGCCCCTTTTTTACTTCTTTTTGCCGAGGGATTTTTCCATTTAAGTACATCCGACCTACATCTCTGACAAGGAGAACCGTGCAGCCTATGTGGGTCAACCAATTATTACTTGATGGCAAATATTAAGACAAAACTTGAATTGATCCTACTGTATGCGCAGAGCAAAAGAATTGGTTTGTTATACGATATATTTCGATGAAAACATTCCTATAACAAGAGAACTACAAATAAGAATATTACAACGTTTCTTTTTTAGGATACGAGTCATATACAATTATATCAATTCTAACGTATAAAAAATACACACCGCACCTTCAGATAACATTGATATGTGAAGCAAATAAAGGCTTTCTCCACATTATAAATCAACATTAAAGCCAGAACAAATAGTTTTGTGGCACCATTGAAATAAGTATATTCAGCATCTATCATAGCCATAACACCAGTTTGTACAGCAGTCTACAAAAGATAAGTTCTATTTATTTGATGACACAAATGAAACACGCACTGAAGTAAGTGTTAGTTGACGTCACTATTTTTGGTCTGGTTGCGAAGTCTCTTGCGGGAGCTGCGTAATTTTCAATTAACTCTTTCTGGAATAGAATGAACCACAGGCATCGGGCCCCGATACACATAAAAAGGCTAGAAAACCTCTTTACAATCCCTTTAAGTATATTTTGCGATTGATGTCATAAAACACTTAGTTTTAGTGAAATTGCACGAACCACAGAAAATCCAATGATGCTTGATGCTATTAAGGCGCGAGAAAATGGCGCAGCGCCAGTTACGTTCGACTAGTAGCGCTTCGTGTGCGGATAATTTTTAGTGTGCTTTTGGTCTCTCGCCGTCGTGTGGAAAATATCTATCGTGTTTGATATTTTTGACCACTCGTGGCCGATGTCGCACCGTGTGCTGGTAACCGTGCGCAACTTTCTCAGACGACGAAGCAACACACATGCGTTATTGGTATTCAAAGATGGCGGCGCCCAGTGAAGTAGTGACAGAAGCAATCCTTGAGATAGTGTCCCAGATAAACATAAACTTTTTAGGAAGCCTGTTTCCTATTCCCTAACAGCATTTCGATAACTTATGCGAACGACTGTGATGCACTGTCATGGTCCTGTCACACAATGGCGATTTGGTCAACGTATGCCAGCATTTAACCCGTAGGTTGAAGTAAATCGAATAAGTAATCGGTAAATTTAAGAAACACCGCTGTACGGCGAAGTCGTCGAATATTTTGTGCGTGCACAAAACCTTGCACTTACAACTCAAAGGTCGATCAATTTTGACATGCGCCATACTTTAAATGATGCCACTTTGGTTAACAGATTTACAGAACTACTCTGCTTAGCTATGTGCAATTGTAAATCTGAAAGCACTATTACTACTAGGGGCGGGGGCGAACACAGTTTTAATATACTCTTTCAAAACAGAGAACACAGCCTTATTAATTCTTTAAAGATAACTTGCTAGGAAAGGTAACATACGCCCACTACCAGCTGTCAGAAATGATAAAAAAGTCTGTAGTGGTTGAATACGTGAAACCAATCATCCGATTGTTACTAATTTCAAGCTTTACTGAGATCTAATACTCAGTTTCATCAAGATCGGAAAAAAAATGTAGTCTCTATCAGGCCTACATGTCAAATTAGCCGTATTGAATTAATTCAAGGGCAATAACTTCAAAACCATTCATCCGTTTGATACCAATTTCGAACTAGACGGAGATCTTGTCCATATATACATGCATACCAAGTTTCATCGAGATCAGATAAACAATGTAGCCTCCATTGTGCCTACACGACCAATTAGACGCATTGAATTAATTGAATATCATCCATACATGCCAAATTTAACGCGTTTTTACTAGGTCAAGGGTAATAACTCTCGAGCCTTTCATCCGATTATTACCAATTTCGAACCCACATGCATACTAAGTTTCATCAAGATCGGACAAAATTGCAGCTTTTAACGTACATAGCATACAAGCAAAATTTAACCCGCTTTTACTAAGTCAAGGGCAATAACCCCAAACCCATTCATCCTATTATTACCAATAGCGAACTTGACCGAGATCTCATTAATATATACACGCATACCAAGTTTCATCTAGATCGGATAAAAGCTGAAGCCTCTATCGGGCATACAAGAAATATGGACGACGGACGGACAGGGGCTACAGCACTATACTTATTGTGGCGAGACATTCAAAAACTAAACTTCCAGAATTTCTTTCGGCTAAATATTCTGGCGAAAATCATCTTTCAGGACATAATCACACTGAACCTGGAACTCGTTTAGATTTACGACTATATTCAAATGATAATCCCAACCCAGGAACAGCACCTATCAACAGAATAGACCAAACGGCGTTAGAACATGACATTCTATACAAATCCTACTTTAAGAGAAAAAGTTGAACGACCTCTAGTCATAACTTGACATAAGGCTTTTAAAATCAAAAATCAAATTAGGTGTGGGAATAACAGATAAAATTCATAAAGAATTCAGAAAAATTAAAAGTGTACTCCAATAATGTTATATGCCGAATGAAAGGGGATATGAATATTGTTTAACAGTTATAGATTTATACTCGATATGTGTAAGATTCGGGTATTTGATCAACCATCATTGTTTACATATTTATTAAAACTAACTTTTACAACTAAAGATTCATTTAAGGGAAATAACTCTTGTATGATTTAGACCACAAGGTAAGTATGTAATTTAGTCCGAAGCACATATCATTTTATATGACTGTCAAGTATATCTCATCCCTCTTCTTAAGCTCAAATAAAACTTTACTATTGTTTATAATACTTTTAAACTAAACTTTTACAACTATTTGTTTATGTTTTAACAGTTCACATCAAATTATTAATATTGAGAGTCACTGTATCTTATTGGTACTTTCACTGATCTCCCTGATCTGGTATGGTAAGTATTGGATACATTAACTGGTTGAGATGATTCAGAGGACTGTTCAGGTAAGTTTGAGGTAGGAATCTCTAATCTATTATTATCTCTGAAGTCTATTTCAGGATCAAGAATTCGTGGTTTGAACTTGGGTTTGGTTGGTTTTAGTTGCCTCCTATTTCTTCTCAGTCTGGAACCTTCTTGTGATTCAACTATGTATGATCTAAGAGAAGTATGAGTTTTGTATAACTTTTCCTGGAATTAATTCTTTGTTATGTTCAATCACAACAGGATCATCTGGTTTTAAGTTTGACAAAGATTTTACTCCAGCTTTGTTATAGTAAAACTCTTATTTTCTCTGTTTGTCTTGAAGGATATCTTTAATCATATTACTATCATATTTGTCTGGTTTCAGTAATATTGAAGTAGTTGTTAGACTGGATTTTAATCTTCTACCAATATGTAATTGAGCTGGTGAAAGCATTACTCCTTCTAATGGTGTGTTTCTATAATCAAGTAAAGCTTTATATGGATCTTTACTCTTCTTAATCAAATTCTTGACTGTTTGTACATATCTTTCGGTTTGACCATTTGACTGATGATAATGTGGACTTGATGTTGAATTCAGCACCGAGGAATTGTGGTGCACTATCTGTTACCAATTCGTCAATATATCCATATCTTGATATCAACTTCTTCAGATAGTGTATAATATTAGTAGTTGTTAAATTGTCTAGTTTATCTACCTCAGGCCATTTTGAAAAATAATCAACAGTTAAAAGATACTGTTTTTGTTGGTATTAAAATACATCAGCACCAACTTTTGATCTTAACATTTCTTTCCTCTTCTGTAGTGGAATAATCAACTTGTGATTTTTAAATAATAGTTTATCAACACAGGTAAGTTGATCTTTGTATTGCCAATAACTTCTAATATCTTCATGTACAGTTTAGATTCTGGCCAACCTTTTACTATTGTAGTTTTTATTTCTGTAATGTTTCATCTTCTAGAGTGTATCTCTGGAATTCTTCATACTGTTTTGGAGCTATTGGTAAGTATGAATTTAAATGTGTCTCATTCACTTCTACTTCTGGTATTAATGTTCCTTCAGTTTCAGGTAAGTAGAATCTGGACAATGTATCAGATACATACATTTCACTTCCTGGTTTATGTTTAACATCAAAATCATACTTTTGTAATGTCAGCATGAATCTTTGTATTCTAGTTGGAGCTTCTAGAATTGACTTCTTGAAGATGTTTTCAAGTGGTTTATGATCACTCTCAACATTGAAGTGTCTTCCATAGAGGTATTTGTGAAATTTCTGACACCCAAATACTATGGC